TACATAATAAACATACAGTCGAATTAAAAACCTCCATTTTCAAGTCTGCTAAAAATGTCATTAACGTCCTTATTAAATTTCCACACTATCTGGGCAAAATAGTAACCTAAGCATGAAAATTAACTGGAACAAGGCAATCTGACCATATATTATATTACTTGGGTAAATCCAAGGACACACGATATCGTATATTTAAAAATAGCTATTACCAAATACGAGTACGTCATGAAGGCGAAGACGTCTGTCTGGTCGTGAAGGTAATCGCAAACTTCCTATGCTAATGAGGGTAAGGTTGGCACGCAAGTTAAGAGGCAACCCTCGGCATTCGTCCTTTGTATAAATGTATTGGTATTACCAAAACACATGCTTGAATGAAACTTTTAAATACAAATTCTTTCCAATAGATTTGAACTTGTTTACGGTGTAATAGACAGACTTGGTTTTCCCAATCTTTACATGTCTAATAGATTGAAATATACGAACGATCATATCGAATTAAAATTATCTTCTTTACTGGCATCACTACGATGCCAGTAAAGAAAATAATTGTAATTCGATTATAATATACGATATATTTATATATTACTTGAACGACAGAACTAAGAACTGATCTGATTCTGAGGCACGGGGGTGAAACACCGCCAATTTCCAGCCAATGTGCTACTACTGAGATTGACAGAAAAACCACTTAACTGATTTAACTCCAACCCGGTATTGGAACCTTGAACTTCATGGTCACTAAATCACTTAGTCAGTTAGAAATGAAACAACCTAAATGTGATCCAAACTTAAAAGTTAGGTAAAAAAAAATATAAAACAATGCTCATTCATATTGATTCGCAGTTCCGTTATTTCAATATAATTATGCATGTACATTATTTAATTTTAATATCACGGAGATGTGCCTGATACGTTTGTAGCTAACAGTGCTGTGAAATAATTACCGCGTAAAGCATTTTTGCGGAACAGTAACAGTTATTTATTGTACTCACATACTCATTAGATTGTACGGAATTTAAATTTTAAATAACAGGTAAATATTAACTAATTTCAGTATGTGACCACTAGCCCCTGAACGTCTACAGTCAAATGCAAACAGAGAAGGACAATAATATTTGTTAACTATAATAGATCGCCCATATATTTATGGTAGCTTTATTAATGTTTTACGCGGTAGAGCCAAGCCGCAGCTATACGAGTAGTAAAGTTGTAGCACGAATGGGTCGGCTCGACCGGAGAAGGACCACGCTCTCACAGAATACTAGCGTAAAACGGCAGCTTGACACTGCTGTGTTTCGTATGGTGAGTGTAGAGAACCGGAAACCCATTTCACTGGAAAGGAGATATTCCATCTTAGTCCTCACGGGTGACGACGCATCTGCATTTTGATTTTTTATTGAGAATAAATGTAGATAGATGTCTATGGGTCACAGCAACCACTTACTATCAGGTGGACTGTGTGCTCGTTTGTCACATTATACCACAAAAAAAAAATAGAGTACTAGGCGACATTAAATAGTATATGTTCTCATGGGGACGACAGGAATAGTTGGTGGTAAGCTAGTAAGAGGATTGTACTTGCACAGAAGATACCTACGTGCTTCTTTCGCCGTTTCTTCTCCGAATCCTCTCGATTCTCATTTCGAAACTGTACTAGATTTAAAAATAAAGTAAATGATATTTAACTCTTATAAGTCGAGAAATAAATATCTCTCGTCTTACTTCACTTCACGGTTGGGCTATTTACTAAATAAGAAGAAGCTCCGTGGCGCAGTGGCTTAGCAACGAGTTACAGCGCTAAGGGTCGCGGGTTCGAATCCCGCACGGAACAAGTATTTGTATGACCTACAAGTAATTGTTCCGGGTTGGCCTACAAGTAATATTTGTCCTTGTAAAATTTATGTTCGTAAACTCACCCCACGATACAGGAGAAAATCCTAGGGTAAAGCTTATAAAAAAAAAGAAGCTGAGTACATCTGGTAGAGTTAGTTCGATATTAATATTTATAGGTAATGAGAATACGTCAAAAAATATCGAATTTCTAAGTACTGCGATGATTTTACCAACCGATAAAAACAATAATAATATATTTTAGATTAGTATCGACTAGACATAGAACGAGTAGTGATTCCTAGATTGGGCCGAGTACTCTGCCGAATACTCGGCTTTAAAAGAAACGCGGTAGCGGGCGGCGTGCGGTTATTACCCTTACAAACTAGACCCAAATAGGGCCGAAAACTAGTGTTTTTTCATCACAATCTACCTCTCTCAAATTTTAAATATTAGTAATAATAATTTCTATTATATATTCTTATGTACGTTCTGAATATTTCTGCTGCTGCTTATGTTCCTGATGTTTCTCTGGAATGTAATTAAGGCCGAGTACTCGGTACTCGGCAGTTAATTCTCGGTCCTCGGCCGAACCCTAAAAAAAGACCGAATCCACCGAGTACCGAATCCAAACCGAATACTAGTGTGTGTGTCTAGTTTCTACCAATCTAAATTTGTGATAACTGTTGAAATGATTAGTAAATTAAAATTATTGCATCCCGACTATTGTATCACTAGACTGTCCGCATTGACTATAATTGTAAAGATGTAGTGACTGAATTAAATCATATATTTAGTTTTAAATGAGAAAGAGATTTTTAACGTCGTTTTCAGAACGAAATTACCATTAGACATGTCTTTTCAATGACGATTACGAACAATATCAGACAAGCCTTTAATTTGGCCAAAACTCACGTAATAATATGTAGAAAAGACAGCTACAATCGCGTGACACATGTTATCCGAATTTCACATGTTTGATACGCCTCAGTCTGTTACACGAATATTCCAAATTTAAAATTGTTGTGAAATTTATATTACGCTCATCAAAAATCGTTAGATAGTTAATATTTAAACGAGCTAGTCGTATACACTGATAAAAATTATAGTAAAAAATTCACTACCCTGTTTCGGCATCACTTGTTTCGAGTAGTATTTAATATATAGCAGTAACCATCTCGTTTACCCCAGACATATAAAGTAGACCGACGGCCACAAGGAGCACAGTCAAATACGCGAGACGTCTGGTACTATTATCGCCAATTCGCCTATCAAAGAGAGGCCCTTGTCTATCCAGACTATTACGGGCTAATGCAGCAGAAAAAAAATGCGACAATAATTTATTATTAATTAAAAGAATTAGAATTTAAATGTGGTCGTGATTTTCGTTTCGAATCTTATTGGTTTTACTGGCTGATTTCGCTAAAAACACTAAAATTTCTTTTCCTCTTTAATTATTGCGTATGATAAATGTACATAACATAATGTACAAAATGAACATAAACCCTTAATTGTATGCAGTAAAAATACTTCGTCTTACCTTGATCGCTATAAATATAAAAAAAATTATGGCAATTTGCAATATTGCCATTTTTTTTTTAATTTACACCGTATATGTTGAGAACTGTGTAGCGGCGGTGTAAGAATATTCACTTACCCATATCATCCCGTGGGTGTCTTAAGAGGCGACATAGCGAAATTGAAACGGTAGATCGGCAGCAGCATCTTCCTAATAACTCAAAATAATAATAAACTGCGGTCGAAAACCCGCTTGCAAATCGTAGCCTATCGTAGGTCTATGTTCAGTAGTGGACTTTTATAGGCCGTAATGGATGAATGGATATAAAGTAGACCTTTACGATATAGGTGAAAACACATTATTAAGTACAAGAAACAGATCAAAAACGTGTTTTATTAATTGTTTCTTATGAATGTTAAAAATACTGAAAAGGCTCAATGTAATTTTATTTAAATGAATGCCGCTGTTTAACTTAAAAAGAATCCGTCTATATGTAATTATTTAAAACATTAAGGCAAACTCTACTCAAATAAATGTTCTGTATTTAGATATTATCGTTTTGCAGCTAAATATATTTGTAGACGGTCATAGCCCGCATTTCCGTAACCCAATAAATAACAAACGTCGCGCTTGCTTCTCCAGACTGCATTCGTGCCTAACAAATTTTCCGCTTTCGCCTTTTTTATTCATTTATTTTAGTGACCTAAATAATTATTGAATACAAAACTGATTTGAATTTCGAATACTTTACAGATTTATGTGTTCAACTATATTTTTTCTTGTAAAATATATAAGATTTAAAGTAGGATGTTTTGTTTAATGTAAACTTATTGACTTATATATTAAAAGATGTAAAATAATGCTTATTTAAAATAAAAGTATCATACATTCTTATCGCATTCTTTAAATCAGACAGTAGCCGAATACTAGGGTGCGGACTGCAAACTCAGAAAGTCGTTGATTCGTATCCGCCATTCGACTACTACGTTTTATCTCTCCTAGCATTTAAAGCTAACTTGCCTAGTTTAGAGATCGTAAGGATAATAATTATATAAAATAATACAATTAAAAAATAAATAAAAAGGAACTTTTTTTAATTTCGTAAGGGCTTCTCCGCAAAAACCAATAATATATATATATGCGATGTTATTTGTTTTTTATATTTTTTTTTACTTTATTTATTAATCAGCTCATAGATCATCACAGGGAATTTATTAGGCACGTGTTAAATGTAATATTAACCAATAATAAGAAAATATATAATCAATAAAGCTCAAGAAAGCTCTCGAAGAACTGAAACTACTGAAATCTTGATAAGGCCAAATGTGGCGCTTGACCTCCGCAATGTAGCTACGCAAGAGTTCAATACACCCCGTAGAGCAACGCTATATCAGAAACAGAAATTTAATTACCATCAAATAATTAGACTAACCAGACCTGAGAGTTCCGAGCGTCAATTATCTTTATTTTACAGACATATTGTAATTTGTTTACTTTCTAATAAAAGTAATGAAATAAATGTTTTTTAATTAAAAAAAAAACACATATATAGCGCAACTCTTGACCTTTCCCAAAACAAAAGGTCCCATTGCTCGTTGAAAGCGAGCACAGTGCAACTTCCCTCTTATAAATCAAAAAAATTACACCTTACCTATTTTTTCCATGACCAATCTTGTAGAGCTCTACATGCTTAAATTGGGCGTATGTGGCCATCGTTTCTTTTTCAAACTAGAAGACGTATTTTACACAGAGAGATCACTGCGCGAACCCGACGATTTGTTGGGATAGTACGACGTGCGAGCACTGCGGCGGTCGTCAGCTGACTGGGCGCGCGCGGCCAGTACCCTTGCTTAAGTCGATGCAGCCACCCTCCGCCCGCGCGTGAAAAGTGAACCGCGCATGCCCTCCGTTTCCGTGTCTGTGCTTCTTTTTTTTTAAAGCACCTGGTAGCCAGTGCCGTTCATATGGGACACATGCTCATGCCAGATGACACGTGACGACGGACAGGAACAGGTTCTTTAAAAAAAATTAGGGATGAGTGATGTTAAACTGAACGCTTCCGTAATAATATTACAAGCTTAGGGGTATGTACAACACTTTTAAGCTCTCCTTATTAAATAAAAACTATGTAACTTAAAATTTGAACCCCTGACTAGTGCATATAAGGAAGATAAAATTTTAACTGTATCTAGAAGAAAAAGAAGTTACTGAAAATACTTATGTAACAACATTAATTTGCTGTGTATATACACTTGGCAGTCTGACACGCGTAGCAGTATAATCCTTATGTTGTAAACATAGGTTTAAAGAGTTCGTAAAAAATGTTTTTTTTTATCGTAATAGTCGTTTGGTATTACTAAAAATTTAAAGTTTTCTAGAAAACTTAGTATTTCACTAGGATTTACCACCTCATCGACGTTTTCTTTATTTCACATTTCCTCGAAATATATTTTTTTAATTTCTCAGTCATGCAGCATACCTCACGATATATTATATCACCGCTACTGTTCACGTGGTAAATCTTTCTGCTTAAATGTTAGTTCTGACGGGGATTAATGCCCGGGACCAGTTATTAAATTTTCAAGTATTCTAGCTACTAAACCACTCAGTAGTTAAAATGTACAAATGAATGAAAAAATTTACTCCGTGAACGTTAAACAATTAATCATCATTTAAAATTTACATGGTCATAAAAAAGTGTAGTGTCCGAGCTTTATTTCTTTTTTTTTGACCAGTCAATTGCTTTTTTATTTTATAATATCTACTCGGTAGCAAAGCAATCAATCTTAAAGCAATTTAATATGCAATTTAAATTGATAGTATGATATAATAAGATACTATAAATATCTTAAAATAGTGAATAGATAACTTTACTTTTTTTAAATATTTATAAAATGTCTTTTAAGCTCGTCAATTTTGTAAATAATTAATTATCTGATTATAAACCCTGGATAAATTCACGACAATATGGTAGACAAGGAAGTTAAGAATTTTAAACGTTTGTTCGATAAAAAAGACTTTGGTTAGCACAATCTCTGTCTTGATTTCTTTTAGATTCAGGTATATATATATATATATATATATATATATATATATATATATATACTAGCTGGCCAGGCAGACATTGTTCTGCCCTTAACGGCGAAATCCTTAATTAAAATCCTTAATTAATATTAATAAAAAATACTGACGGTATCTTATCGGGATAAAAACTATCCTATCTCTCAAGTTGGACCAAACTGCACACAGTGTGCAAAATTTCACTGAACTATTCCTAATGGCTTGAACGATTTTGATGACAATTTTTGAGTATGTTTGAGTGGGTGAGTTGGACCCATTAGGTGGGGCTGTTATCGACATCCAGATCTCCCGTGCGAAACCGGAGCTCGCTAATTTTTGTATACAATTTTTTAATAACACGGTTCCAATTTAAAGCACCATTTTCTCCAACTAGGCGACATATTTATTTATCTTATAGTATTATAAGATAAATAAATATGTCGCCTTTAGTATGTTTATCAGTTGTCTAGTACCCATAACACAAGCTCTGCTTAGCTTGGGACTAGATGGCGTTGTGTGATAGTTGTGGAATATTATTATTATTATTATTATATTATTATATTTTCTTATTATATATGTGTTTATATGCATAATATATGTTTTATTTTATGTATTTAAATATATTATAAATATTTTATGTTCTTTGTAAGCCGCCTTCGTAGTATTAACTGGAAGAGAATGATCTTAGCGTTAAGTCCGCCTTTGAATCCTATACTCTTGTAAGAGTCAATAAATTTTAAATAAATAAATATGTAAATAAATATTTCTTAAACTGTTACCGCCGGCTTTTATCAAATAGAATTAAAAGTTTAACGAGCCTTCCGAGCATGTAAGAGAAACAGACTTAAAAACACATGTCATTGGAAATCAGCTGAAGTGATATTTCGTTAAAATCTTGTGAAAGTTTTTTAAAGTGGCTTTAGTAAGAACATCACTATGGAAATGCTCTTCGTATATTTGCACTTAAATCACTGTCTGTCAACTAAGTAGTGAACCGTAAATAACGGCTAATACCGACTTGTGTAAGTGACCTTTTTAGCCTACATAAATAGTGTTTCTTCATAATATTAGAGGGACAATAAGTTTGCTATTGTAGATTATAGACACCTGCAACAACTGCGAACAGAGATGGTCAATCCTCAAAACTGAGATGTAATTCACTACAGCCTGTAATTAATATTTTAATTTATTAAGTTTAACTTATCCATGACTTTCCTTAACAGATGAGCATTTAGTAGGTAAAAAGTAAAGTAAAGTTGCAGCCTATTTACGTCCCACTGCTGGGCACAGGCCTCCTCTCATTTCTGAGAGAGTTTTAGGGCAAGTAAATGTCCGCCGTGCTGCCCCAATTTGTTGGCGAACTTCACATATTTTCGAAATATTTTTTTTCTTATTTCTCAGACATGTAGGTTTCCTCACGATGTTTTCCTTCACCGCCGAGCACGTGGTAAATCAGCACTTAAAATTGCAATTAATAATTTCATTGGTGCCGGCGGGGATCGAACCCGGGTTGCTCGAGTACTGTGAAGCTTACAGCGGGCGCTAACCATCAGAGCTACCACGGCTAATTATTTGGCAGGTAATTAGCACGTAAACTGGCAGACCTAGAATCGAGCCTGGGATCTATATGCCTAACAATTTTAGGACACCTACCTATAGACTCAACAAATATTGTTCAGAAAAAAGTTTGGCATTCATTCGATTTTTTACAAAACAAATTTTGTGATTTTGTGTTTATAATTTATATCAGAATATTTCGATGAAAGAAGCAATAAAAAAGGAATAAGATATAAAATAGTTCAAAGCCAGCCTCTTCGGATATCGTGGTATAATAATGTTGAAATTAATAGAAATTATATAGTTACTACTCAAAGGTTATGTTCCGGGGTACGTTGGGTAAAGTACCCCGGACGGGTTAACGTTGGGGTAGTGCCCAATAAAAAAAAATTGATTTTGATGAAGAAAGTAGACTCGCCTAATTGCGACGAAATAAATCCTACATATGCTAACAGAATGTGCCAAATATCAAAGGGAAAGGGAGAATCTGGTGAAAAAATGTAATATTAATTTGGGTGAAATAGGTTGGTTAGAAGCCACACTCAGTGGTGACAAAGTTGTTAGTTAAAAAAGGTTAATAAAATGTTGTAATCGTATGTTTTATAAAAAGATGAAAATGAATATATAATTAAAAGATTATTATTTTCAAAATGATATTACACTAAATCAAATTATTAAATAGTTTTATTAGTAGTTATAAATATTCTGTTTTTATTAAAATGAATTGGAGAGGGTTATGCTCGAAGTTTCTCTGCGTGATAGAATCCGTATCTATGATGTCCGAATCATTGAGAGTCATTGACATAGCCCAATGAATCAATAAGCTAAGTGGAAATGTACAAGCCATATAACTCGAAAAACAACAACCAATAGGGAAGAAAGGTTCTCGAGTGGCAGCCTCGTACGGTTATCAAAGTTTAGAGCGGCTTTCCACCAGATGGAGCAACGACCTAGCAAAACATACAGGAAGTCGATGAATACGGCCTAGAACCATATTTCGTGGCAGTCCTATGTCCTATCTTCAGCAATAATTCTGATTATAATGGTGAGGATGATGATTATAACAAAAACTAGTAAAAATATATTGATTTAAAAATATTAGAATATTTAAATACAATATGATAATGGAATATATTTTTAGGTTTTACAAAACGAATAAATTTAACAGTAAATATAAATAATGATAATTTAGAATTATAGAAATATAATATATTTTTTTCATAATTTATCTTTATAATTTACTTAAAATCTTTTATGTTCTAGTGCCTAACAGCTTTCATTAATGGCGGACTTTAGATCATGTTTGACACATTTAATTATTAAAATCTAATTACTAATTAGTATTGATTATTGAATATTGATGATAATATCATTATAATCTTGTAGCCTACAATAGTGTCAGTAAAGCCGTCACGTATCTTTTTCCTCTTCATCAGCATTCTATAAGCAGCCGACAACAAAACAATCATCTATCTTGTGAGCGGCATACGTCAAACAATCGAGAGCTTTCTTGTTTCAACACCGGTCCATTACCGACCGTACGAATTAACCATCTATTTTACGTGACTCATCTGTGCGTTGGTCAATTACTTACCTTAATGTGGAGCCCTTCATATATCTTCATAAAGCACCTACTGCGTTTTTAAATACATATCCATAATTTTAATAATGTTATATTATAAGATGGGGGATGAGTCGCTCGCGTCCGTAGGCTTCGACCACGTAATCCTAGGCCCACCCTACACGTGTCCCCCGAGTGGTGCTAAACAAGCGACAAAGCCGAAAGAGCAGACTCGGCTCCTCGCCGTGTGGTAGCGGCGTAAAATATACCACACCCTAATTTCGTACCATGGGGCAAAAAATTTACGAAATGGCCCCGAGTTCCCGGCGCCCCTTTAATGAGACAGGGGTGCGAAGAATCTCCGGGAGGAAAACCGGCGACTAGGTTCGCCACCCGTCACGTTCTGTCCCCCGGAGGGTCATAAGAATATTCACACGTATACATGGGAAAGCGGTGATGATAAAAGTATGATAGATTTCATAATTGTTGATGAAAGAATGAGGAGCGCGGTGGTAGATACAATGGTTTACCGGGGCTTTAAAGTAGGGACGGACCATTACTTGGTCTTATCCCGAATTAATGGTCTTTTCAGACGTTGCAGGCATCGGACATCTGTGTCTACTACTGCGTTACTGCGTATAAGAACA